CGGGCCTTTCACTGTTGTGGCCTCTCCTGTTGCGGAGCACAGGCTCCAGGCGCGCAGGATCAGCGGCTGTGGCTCGTGGGCCCAGCTGCTCCTCGGCATGAGGAATCTTCCCGGACCGGGGCAGGAACCCATGTCCCCTGCATTGGCAGGCGGACTCTCAACGACTGCATCACCAGGGAAGCCCCCAACCACTATATTAATGATGAAATCCCTAATATTCTCTCCCTAATCCTATTCCCCATCCTCCATCTGTACCCCTGGCCCTGATCATCCCTGCCTCCTGACAAGAGGCAGCCACTATATCAAATCTGCTGTGTATCTAATCTGTGTATTTCTAGTTTTACTATGTATTGATATTTCCAAAAACAACATGAACATTGTTTTACATGTGTTCAAATCTACTTTGTAACATTTTGCTATTTGCTTATTAGTGAGATGTAGCCATGTTAATAAATGTGTACCTCTTTCACTCATTTTTAGCTCCTTGGTAGTATTTGTAGTATTCTTTCATAGAATACTACACCACATTATTTATGTATTCTCTTACCAATGAACATCTGGAGTGCTTTAAAAACATTTTCCTTTGCTATTACCCATAATGCTGGAGTGGAAATTCTAACACATGTCCTTTCTGAGCATGTGTGTGAGCTTTCTAGGCTGTAACTAGAATTGGAATAATTATTCAGTGATTCGTAGGGTGGTGCTCATTTTCAGTTTGACTACGTGTTGCCAAATTACTTTGTTACATACCATAGTAGAAATTTATAATCCCACAAGCAGTTAATGACTTTTTCTTTCTGCATCTATTTTCTTACATTGTCTTCAACACTTGGACACTTGGTATGTTCAGACTAAAATTTTTCACTAACCTGATGCTTCCTCATTTTAATTTGTATTTCCCTGATTACTTAATGATGCTAAGCATATTTTCATATTGGCTCTTCAGATTTTTTCTTCTTTGTATTTTAGATTCATGTATCCTTTGTCCATTCTTCACTTACATTATTATTCTATTTTTGTCTAATAGTTTTAAAGTTTTATTCATATTTAAGACTGTAAATACACCTGGACTTTATTTTTAAGAATGGAGTGAGGTAGGGGTCTAATTTTGTTTTTCTCCATATGGAAAATTAATTATTCCAGCACCTTTTATTGAATTTGTTGTTTCCTCATGATTTTGTAATGCCCCTTCTATCTTATTTCATGGTCCTAGATATGCTTAGGATTCTTAATCTATTCTCTTCTGTTTCATTGATCTGTTTGTCCCTGTGAAAGCACCACAGTATAATAAATTCCGATAGCTGGTAAGACAAGTTCCACGTCACTTTATTTTTAATATATAGTTGAAGTTATTGAAAATAGAGTTTTATATTTTGTCTCCCCTCTACCCCATGTTTTTCCTAACAGTATAATATAAACACTCTTTCATATAAGAATCTGCAGAGTTTTTTTTTAATGTTGCATGATCTTGCCTTGTATATACTGTTACTTAGGTAGCCAGTGTCTTGTGACTTAACAATGTTCTTAAGAGATAATGCTTCCCAGATTATAAAGGGGGGTGCTATCTCTGTTGTAGTCCAGCAAATTCCCTCTACACTGAGGAGCTAGAGTGCAAAGCCTGTTCCTGAGATGGGATAGAGCTTTTGTGACAATTGGGGCTGGGATTTGCCTGAAGATGGGTCTGGCAGGTGAAGAGCAGGTGTGTTGGCTCTTGGTTCACAGCTGCAGCGACTCTCTGCTTCCCGCTGCTGGTGACTGCTGGGACAGCGGATGAATTTCTTTTGGAAGAGGGCAGAGTCTTCAAGAAGCAGTGTTTGTTTTTGTCAGTGAAGGCCATTATAAAAGAAACTTTTTTTTTTTCTTCTTTTGTGGTATGCGGGCACATACCTGTTGCAGAGCACAGGCTCCGGACGTGCAGGCTCAGCGGCCATGGCTCTTGGGCCCAGCCGCTCCACGGCATGTGGGATCCCACTGGACTGGGGCACGAACCCGTGTCCCCTGCATCGGCAGGCGGACTCTCAACCACTGCGCCACCAGGGAAGCCCTGAAAGAAACATTTTAAAGGGCATACAACCTTTATACCTTAATTGGTTTAAATATCATTTTGTGTGTGTTGTTTGTAATACTTGCCTATTATGCTCCTTCTAGTACTTTCACACCCTCCAGTGTTTCCGTCTCTTCTGTTTTAGTTCCTTTAATACTTAGCAATTTGGAGTCACTTTTTAATTACATTATCTTAAATTATTTACTATATTATAAATTTTTTTAAGCAAAAATATACTCAGGTTTAGGAAATTTTGTTTTGTCTTGTTTGTACAGCTGGTTTCAGAGATAGGATTTGGATCTTAACTCCTGCTGAGGAGTTCTCTCCACTAGATTACCTCTGTTTTATTCTTGTTAAAATGGCTTGGGTTTAAATATCATTGTTGTCTGTCTTGGATCAGGCAGCACTGAAGATTTTTTTTTTTAATTTATTTTTGTTTTTTAAATATTTATTTATTTATTTACTTTGGTTGTGCCGTGTCTTAGTTGAAGCATGCGGGATCTTTAGTTGTGACATGCAGGCTTCTTAGTTGCAGCATGTCACATGAGAACTCTTAGTTGCAGCATGCATGTGGGATCTAGTTCCCCAACCAGGGATTGAACCCGGTCCCCCTGCATTGGGAGCATGGAGACTTACCCACCAGACCACCAGTGAAGTCCCTTATTCTTTTTTTTTTTATTTAATTTTATTTATTTTTTTATACAGCAGGTTCTTTTTAGTCATCCATCTTATACACATCAGTGTATACACATCAATCCCAAACGCCCAATTCATCACACTGCCACCCCCACCCACCCGCCACTTTCCCCCCTTGGTGTCCACACGTTTGTTCTCTACATTTGTATCTCTATTTCTGCCTTGCAAACCACTTCATCTGCACCATTTTTCTAGATTCCACATATATGTGTTAATATATGGTATTTGTTTTTCTCTTTCTGACATACTTCACTCTGTATGACAGTCTCTAGATCCATCCACCTCTCTACAAATGACCCAGTTTCATTCCTTTTTATGGCTGAGTAATATTCCATTGTATATATGTACCACATCTTCTTTATCCATGTGTCTGTCAATGGGCATTTAGGTTGCTTCCATGACCCGGCTATTCTAAATTGTGCTGGAATGAACATTGGGGTGCAGCTGTCTTTTTGAATTATAGTTTTCCCTGGGTATATGCCCAGTAATGGGATTGGTGGATCATATGGTAATTCTATTTTTAGTTTTTTAAGGAACCTCCATACTGTTCTCCACAGTGGCTATATCAATTTACATTCCCACCAACATTGCAAGAGGGTTCCCTTTTCTCCACACCCTCTCCAGCATTTGTTGTTTGTAGATTTTCTGATGATGCCCATTCTAACTGG